TTACTCCTGCCACACGGGGCTGCCTCAGACAGCACCTCTGAACGTGCCCCAAGAGGCCTGAAGCACCACACCGTCAGGCTTTCCTCCGCAAAGAGGGCACAGGCGGGACTCGGCACCTCTCAAACCACGTTTCTGTGTGACCACAGTCTTGGCGTGCTGCCACCTGCCCAACTCAGACCTTCTACTGCCCCACCTCCCAGCCGCTCTACAGAATCTCACCAGCACTGCCATAGGTCAGCACACCTTGGGGGTTTTTTTGGTTTTTTATTTTTTTTTGTCAGAGTCTCACTCTGTTGCCTAGCCTGGACTGCAGTGACACACTCCCAGCCACTGCAGCCTCCACCTGCTGGCCTCAGGCGATCCTTCCACCTCAGCCTTCCAAGTAGCTGCAGGCACCTGTCACCACGCTTGCTCAGCACACTTTTTTTTTGAGTCAGAGTCTCATTCTGTTGTTCAGGCTGGAGTGCAGTGGCACACTCACAGCCACCCTAGCATTGACTTGCTGGGCTCCGGCAATCCTTCTGCCTCAGCCTTCCAAGTAACTGGAACTACAGGTGCATGCCACCACGCCTGGCTAATTTTTGATTGATTGTAGAGACGAGGTCTCGCCAAGTTGCCCGGTCGAACCCATGAGCTCAGGCAACCACTCATCTCAGCCTCCCAAAGTGCTGGGATGACGGGCTGAGACACCACGCCCAGCTCAGCACACCTTTTTCATCTGTCCCTCTGCAACGTCATCTGTGCCTGGGAGCCACCAATTGGGGAAGAACAGAAAGTGCATCTCCTGGACTCTCATTCTGGCAACACAGACCCGCCCAAGTCCTCAGCTGCAGTTCACATTGTGCGGGATTCTAAGGCCCCAAGGGCTAGGGCGCAAGGCCATGTGTTGCAAATGCCAGACTGGCCACAGGGCCCACCTCTTGCTGGTAACTGAGGGACTTCTGGCTTAAAGATGTTTATCCCTGCAGCCCCCTGGACACCATCTACTACCACCGGGAGCTCCTGTGCTACTCTCTGGACGGACTCCGTGTGGATCTGCTCACAGTCACTTCCTGCCATGGACTTCGAGAAGACAGAGAGCCTCGTCTAGGGCAGCTATTTCCTGACACCAGCACTCCACGACCATTCCGCTTCACGGGCAAGAGGGTGAGTGGACGTAGCATAAAGGGAACAGCCTGGCCCTTCTTAACTTCTGACAGTCGAGAACGTGAGGCCAAGTTACCACTAGGCATCTTGGACACAGCCTCAGCCCGCAGCCTGTGGTGAGGGTGATGGCACCTGGTCCCCTTGCAGACCCAGCCAGCTGGAAATGCAGGGGCTGCCTGCCTCATCCACACCAGCCCCCGTGACTGTCAGAGGGGAACACAGGGCAGCCGACTGAACGTCTCTTCTCCTCTGCACCCCAGATATTCTTCTTAAGCAGCAGGGTGCACCCTGGGGAGACTCCCTCTAGCTTTGTCTTCAATGGTTTTCTGGACTTCATCCTTCGACCTGATGACCCCCGGGCCCAAACTCTACGTCGCCTCTTTGTCTTTAAGCTGATTCCCATGTTGAACCCCGATGGCGTGGTCCGGGGACACTACCGGTAAGTGGCCTCAGCCTGTCTGTACTGGGCCCACCCCCATCCCCTCATGTGCTGCTTCTCAGTGAAACGCTGTCAGCCTTCCAGCGTCTCCTGCGTGCTCAGTCCTCCTGCACCCCAACACGGGCGAGCCCGACTTGCCCTCCAGTGACCCAAGAAGGTGTGAGGGCTACTGGCACCCCAGAAAGGAGCAAAGCTATGGTGATGGCAGGCCCCTCTGGGGGGGGAAGCCACCCTTAGGTTTCTGCAGTGGCAGTGACAGGAGGTGAGGGAGGGGGCCTGTCTCCGAGTCTCCTTCCTGACATGGCTGCCACCGATTAGTGAGTTTCCCTCAGGCGCCCTCTTCTCTGCTCGAGGGCCTCCCCTATTGGCCCAGTCCTCCAGTCCCTGCCTCAGGCCTGGCTTTCCTGCAGCACGGACTCGCGAGGGGTGAACCTGAACCGCCAGTACCTGAGGCCTGATGCTGTCCTGCACCCGGCCATCTATGGGGCCAAAGCCGTGCTGCTCTACCACCATGTGCACTCTCGTCTGGGCTCCCAGAGTCCCCGCCCCCCTCCTGACGCTCTTCTGTCTGACCTTGAGAGGGCCAACAATCTCCAGAACGAAGCTCACCTTGGGCACGCATCCAGCGGGGAGAGCCCTGAGGTCTGGGCCCAGGCGGAGCCAGCAGAACAGAAGTCCGGCAGTGTCTGGATTCTGCCCCAGCCATCTGCTGAGCCTGACGAGCCAGCCCCTGACACCATTCCCCCCAGGGAGAGTGGCGTCGCGTACTACGTGGACCTGCATGGGCATGCTTCTAAAAGGGGCTGCTTCATGTACGGAAACAGCTTTAGTGATGAGAGCACCCAGGTAGGAATCCTGAGAGTGTTACTGAGTGTGGGAGGTAGTGCAGGTTAAGAGAGAAGGGCTAGACAGCCAGGTAGCTTTCTGGCAGGAAGGCCTGTGCAGACTACCTCCAGCGATCCTTGAAGGGCCAGGAAGAGATGGCACTGAGGCCTGAGTCTCAGCCTTTAATCATGACTTTTAGTGAGGATAAAGCTGTCTGCATTGTCTTTGCTAGAAATTAGGAATCCAGAAGAGAGAAACTGAGAGCTTTAAATTAAGAGCTTAAAAAGAAGATAGAATTGGGCCAGGTGCAGTGGCTCATGCCTATAATCCCAGCACTTTGGGAGACTGAGGTGAGAGGATTGTCTGAGCCCACGGGTTTGAGACCAGTCTGGATAACTTGGTGAGACCTCGTCTCTACAAAAAAAAAAAAAAAAAAAAAAAAAAAAACAGGCATGGTGGCGCACACCTGTAGTTCCAGTTACTGGAAGGTTAAGAAGAAAGGATTGCCTAAGTCCAGCAGGTTGCTGTGGTGGCCGTGAGTGTCTCACTGCACTCTGGCCTGGGCCTCAGTGTGAGACGACGACTCAAAAAAAAAAAGGAAGATAGAATTGCTTCCCACACCTTTAAATGATGCCATGCTGGGAGAATTCGAGCAGCACTGATTACTGCTCATGGTTATGCTGGCATCCACTGTGCACCGCGTCACACAGCCCCTGCTTGCCACATCTTCCTCGCCCCTTGGCCCTTTCTCTCCATCTCTCCTCTGAGTTGGCTGCTTCTAACCAAACAGGTGGAGAACATGCTGTACCCAAAGCTCATCTCCTTGAACTCAGCCCACTTCGACTTCCAGAGCTGCAACTTCTCAGAGAAGAACATGTACGCCCGTGACCGCAGGGATGGCCAGTCGAAAGAGGGAAGCGGCCGTGTTGCCATCTACAAAGCCTCAGGGATAATCCACAGGTTGGGTGGGAAATGGCAGTTGTTGAAATGACTTCTCCAAGGAAAACAATTCCCAGACCAGGGCGTTTCGAGAGGCAAAGGACTGCCCGAGTCTTCTTGAAAGAGAGCCTTGGCTGGGCTTGGCGGTTCACACCTGTAATCTCAGCACTTTGGGAGGCCAAGGTGGGAGGGTCCGCGTATGGAAATGGCTTTAGTGATTTTTGCTTGAGCTCAGAAGTTCAAGCCCAACCTGGGCAACACAGTGAGATCTTGTCTCTACAAAAAATCCAAAGAACTAGCTGGATGTGGCAGGGCACACCTATAGCCTCAGCTACTTGGGAGACTGCGGCAGAAGGATCGCCAGAGCCCAGGAGGTCGAGGCTGCAGTGCTCCGTGACTGCCACTGCACTTCAGCCTGGGTGACAGAGCGAGACCCTGACTCGAAAAAAGAGAACCTTACAGTTAGCATTATTGTTTTTCGTCTAAGACTGCTTCAGGGGGTCTTCTGGATACACGGTGTAGTGCCAAGGTTAGATGCCAGTTGCTGGAGTTATTAGCAGTTCCTATTTGCATTCACTTTTTCCAAGTAATTACCTCCTTAGGCCAGCCGAGCTGTCCCTTGTGGTTCTGTCCTGATACCTGTCCAAGCAGGACACTGATGAAGGTCTCTGTGTCATAGCTACACACTTGAATGCAACTATAACACCGGACGCTCAGTGAACAGCATCCCTGCTGCCTGCCACGACAACGGGCGTGCCAGCCCCCCTCCCCCTCCAGCCTTCCCATCCAGATACACAGTGGAACTGTTTGAGCAGGTAGGCGTGCACGGGCTGGAGTTGGCAGAGGCCTCGCTCCTGCTTCCTGACCCGAGGGTCCTCTGAAGAGACACTCACCCCCGCGGCCCTCTCACAGGAGGTCATTCTCCTCAGCTAACAGGAGCATGAGTCCGGCTCTGATGGTCTTGAACTACAGGCACTGTGTCTGACCCCACACCACAGTGGATGCCCTGGCATCTCTGAGACAAAGTCTTTGCCTCTAAGCTTGTCTTCCTATTCTCTGGGGTTTACTCACTCCTGGGCTCAGACACGCCCACGACAGTGGTCTCAATGCTGCCCGTTATTCTAGGATACATAAGTTCTTTGTGGTGCCAGCCAGAAAGCACACCTGCCCCTGCTCATAATGACTGAGGGCCCCAAGATGGGCAGTGGTTTAGGGATCACCGCTCAATCCAGCTCAGCCCAAGGGTGGGGAATCCCCTGAGCAAGCTAGGGGTCAGCCCTCCTTCCCATCCACTCTGCTGGGTGTCCCATCCCACATGGCAGCCTGGGTTGGAGGACCAAGAGCTAAGCCAAACTGGACTCCCCCCAGGTGGGACGGGCCATGGCCATCGCGGCTCTGGACATGGCAGAATGTAACCCGTGGCCCCGAATCGTGCTGTCGGAGCACAGCAGCCTCACCAACCTGCGGGCCTGGATGCTGAGGCATGTTCGCAACAGCCGAGGCCTGAGTGGCACCCTGAGTGTGGGTTTTGGCAAGAAGAGGGGCTCTCGGACTCCACCCAGAAGCCGCAAGTAAGACCCGCAGGGCGGAAGGGAGCAAGGGCAGGAGAGTGGGGCGGGCTCTTGTGCTCAGAGTGCTAGGGGCCCTGTGGGGCTCCCCTCCTCCCAGAAGTGTCCCATGGGACCGTTTCAGGGCAAAGCAAAAGTGGAAAGGTGAGCTCACTTCTTGAGCACAGTTCCTCTTCCCTCTTGCCCTGAGCCCTGCCCAACATCATACTGGTGGGAGTGGGGCAGGCTGCGGCTTCCAGTGGTGCTGGTGACTGGAGTGCGCTCACTCGGGCCGACACCCAGGCAGTGGGGGGCGCTCACTGGGAGACAGGCTGCTGAGGGTGGCCCTGAGGCAACCTGGCGTGCCCCGACCAGACCTACATCTGTGACATGAGTTCTTCACGCCCCTTCAGAAGGGGTCCCTCTGCCTCTCTGCCCCGGGATGAAGCTTCACTGAGGCTGAGACCCCAGGGAGAGCCTGGGACACAGCCTTCCAGGCCAGAGCTGACTGGCATCTGCTTCTTTGCAGTATATTGCCCGTTTCCTGCTCTGAAAACACCTTGAGCCGAGCACGCAGCTTTAGCACTGGCACGAGTGCTGGTGGTAGCAGCAGCAGCCAGCAGAACTCTCCACTGATGAAAAGCTCCCCCAGCGCTCCTTTTCATGGCAGTCGGCCTGCAGGGCTGCCAGGCCTGGGCGCCAGCACCCAAAAGGTCAGCCACCGGGTGCTGGGCCCCGTCAGAGGTAAGCCAGTCTGGGAGCCCCTGCAACATGTGTTCGGCTGTTTGGGGCATTGCTGGGGGAAGTGAGAGCTTGGAGATACTTGGCCTGGGGCCAAGGGGTAAATCAATAAAGCTTGTCTGTAGCAGAATTGGCAGCTTCTCCCAAGACCGTGGTGTCCCTGCGGCAAGGCCCCAGAGCAGCACTGGGTGGCCACAGCTGGGAGTACTGGGTGCCAGGGCTTCAGGGCATGCTAGGAGCCAGGGACATGTCCAGGGACACAGGACTAGCTGGTGCAGTGCCGAGCAGAGACACCGAACCTTTGCATCACCTACAACAGCATCAGTCGGTCTTCCCAGAGGCAGCAGGAGGGTGTGTCCTCAGAATCCAAATTGCAGCCCTGTTGGGTGACGGGGCCACTTACCCATGGTCTCTGTGGCCTGAAATTGTTCCTGACTTCAGAGCCCATTCAGAAAGTGGCATCAGAAATATTCCAGCTCTTTCAGAGAACAGCAGCGGCCACACACAGCTGCTATTGTTGTATACAATGAGGCAGTCTAGCCCTTCCCAGCAGTGGGCACAGTCACTCGACTGTGCGTCAGTACTCCTGGGTCTCGCCTAGCGAGAGTGTGTGTCAAAGTTACGTACCAAAAATAGGGGGTCTTCAGGAAGAAGGAAGAGGAAGTAATGGGAGAAACCCAGATTGTGGAAGGGGCGAGATTGTTGTTGTGCCGTTTCTGGACATACGCCGAGCCACAAGTCCACACTGCACTGGCGTCTAGGCTGCAGAAATCTCACCAGAGCTTCGAGGCTTGCTTGCTGGAGCTGAGAGCCTTGCTGGTCTTCCAACTGTGCTCACCCCTGTTGGCTTTTCCCAGCCTGCACCCTGGCTTTTGGTAGATGAGCATGCGCTGAGACCATGGCCGGGTAACCTTACTGCACTAGAGAAGCCACAGGGGAAAGGGTGGTGGTCCTTACCAGCTCCACCCACTGAGCTGTTCCATGCATTTAATGAATGACTGTCCTTTGCTGGCTAGAACAAGCCACAAGACTGGGCTGGCAAGGGAATTCCAGCAAAGATGTAGGCAGCCCAGCCAAAAGCTTAGGATAGAGGTTCAGGGAATTAGCCTGATAGGTTCTGTCCTGAGGCTGGGAAATGACATTTTAGAAGCTGGAAGAGCTCAGTGAGCCTGACTCCTAGCCCCCATGACCTTAAGTGCCAGGGTCTTCCTACCCAGTTCTCCCCAGCTGCAAGACATGCTCTAAATGCCCCTTCCCAGATCCAGGGTCAAGTCCCTGTCCACCTGCTTGGACATGCAGACTGGGCTCTGCAGAGGAGGAACAGGGCGCTGGAGAGCAGCAAGCCCATGGCGCGGTGGGGGTGGAAAGCCTGCAAGGCCCTGTGCTGACGGAGTGGTCTGGTGGGGGGGGCGGGGAGCGGCCCAGAGCTGCTCTTGGTACTGATCGGGGCTGGGGCAGGCAGGTGGGGTCTTGTCTCTTAGAAAAATGTAAAGATTAGCCAGGTGCCATGGCATGTACCTGTAGTCCCAGCTACTCGGGAAGCTGAGGTGGGAGGCTTGCCTGAGCCCAGAAGGTCAAGGCTGCCATGAGCTGTGATTGTGCCACTGCACAACAGCCTGGGCAGCAGAGCAGAACTCCAACTCACGCACTTGCTCTCAGGTTCAGGCCAGTGCCTCCTTCCACTTTGCCTGACTTTCCCTGGGTGCCCTACTTGCTTCCTTCTGGTCTTGACCTGGATTCAGGCAGTAGTCTCAGCAACCTTATCCCTGGCCCCCCAGCCCACGCAGCGGAGTCCTGGTGTGAGAGACAGGGTGCTTGAGTGTAGAAGCAGGAGCCCAGAGCTGCCACCCTCCTGGTCCTCTGCAGTGTCTCAGCGCAGCTAGTAACTTTGGCAGAGCAATTCGGGGGCAGCAGTGCATAGGGGCTCCCCTGGAGTGAGTCAGGAGGATGGAGGAATGTCCCCATCACCACAGCCACTTTTAGTTTCTCCACTGGAAATAAAATCTTCAGGAAATGTCTCCTAACACATTCGCTCTCAAAACTTTTACCTTAGCACCTCACCCTGTGCCTGGCACTTAAGTGATCAAATATTTGCTGAATTAGTACAAGGCACAAAGTTGGGAGCCAAGTGAAGGCTTGCCTCGCCTCTCTACCCTTCAGAGGAACACATTAGGTCTGGGATCGTCCCAGGGCTTCAGTAATATCGGGGGTGCTACATGGAAGGACAGTTCAGAGACATTTAGGGAAGATGACACAGCTAGGCACAAGCCAGTGACTGATCCTCTAGATTTGAGACCTTGGGATATCCATTCTCCTCCAGGGGAGGTCAGGCAGTCTCAACCTCTTACGCCTCTGCCCCAGTACCATCCTGCCACTCTGAAAAGGAACCTAGAGCTGACTACCATGACATCTAGAAGCTCGTCACATCTAGAAGCTCGTCACATGTTCCTCTTGCACTCAGCCTTAACCTGCTGTTTCTGTCGCTCAGAACCAAGAAACAGAGCTGGGTCTCCTTTGAATTCTTGTCCCAATGGGGACTGAAAGCCTTAGACTGGACCAGGGGCCAAAAGTCCAAACATGAGAAGCTGGGCTGTGTGCTCAAATTTGGATTTATAGGCAGGCCTGGCCAGGTCTTAACAGTCTTTTTATATTTTGAGACAGATTCTCACTCTGTCACCCAGGCTGGAGTGCAGTGTCATGTTTACTGCCACCGCAGCCTCGACCTGCTGGGCTCAAGTGATCCTTCTGCCTCAGCCTTCCAAGTAGCTGGAACTGTAGGTGTGCACTACCACATCCAGTTAATTTTTTTATTTCTTGTAGAGATGAGGTCTCACCAAGTTGTCCAGGCTGGTCTGGAACCCGTGGGCTCAGGCAATCCTCTCACCTCAGCCTTCCAAAGTGCTGGGATTACAGGTGTGAGCCACTGCGCCTGGTCGACAGTCTTTTAAAGGATGAGTGAAGTCTTAATGCTTTTCAGATCAGGCCTTGTCTCCTGTCCTGAAACTCTCATCGGGGCAGGATTCCTGGATTGCACCCTGAGTTCCTTTCCCATGAACCTCCTCCATTTTGCGTTAGCACTTTTTACCTCCATTGCCTGTTTTGCTTCAGACCTTCCTGCGTGTCACTCAGTTTCTCACTGGAACCTGCAAATGTCCCCAGAGCTTTTGCTGATTCTCTTGCTTGCTTGTCTGCTTACCCTTTCCTGGGGTGGGGTGAGAGTTCACTCGTAACATGGTTTCTACATGCCTCTGTATATAGATGTTTCTCAGATCACCTACAAATTCCGTTTCCTCTATCAAGTTCATGATTTTTGCCTACTGTGCATTGCCACCTGGATATTGTCCCGATGTCTTTTAATCACAGAATCAGGACTGGGCTTGGTGGCTCAGCCTGTCATCCCAGCACTTAGGGAGGCCGAGGTGAGCGGATTGTCTGAGCCCGTAGGTTCGAGACCAGCCCGGGCAACTTGGTAAGACCTCATCTCTACAATGAATTTAAAAAATAAATTAGCTGGGCGTAGTAGTGCGCACCTGTAGTTCCGGCTACTTGGAAGGCTGAGGCTCAAGGATAGCTGGAGCCCGGCAGGTTGACACTGGGGTAGCTGTGAGCATGCCTGGGTGTCGGAGTGAGACTCCAACTCAAAAAAAAAAAAAAAAATCAGAATCACTTGGGTCTAGGCCTCAGATTATTTTGAAGTCATGGTGGTGGCTAACATTTCAGGTTATTTGACTGCCACGAGTCTCTGGCTTCTGTTATCCTGTTGGCATCCCTTTGTCAACTCCTAACTGGCTCCCTGAAGTCTGGTTGTGTCTGACTTTTGACTACAGTTTTAGACATAACTGGTACCCGGAATCTCGATACTCATGGCTAGATCTCTCCCTTTGTTCTTTATCCATATGGGTATTTTTTTCTTTCTTTTTTTTTTTTTTTTTTGAGTTGGAGTCTCAC